TCGAGTGATGGCCAGGCGTGAGGCTAGCGAAATTTCGGCGCCGCTTCTTCCTTGTTTCCAAACTCAAGCTCAAACCCTAGGCAATCTAACTCAACTATACAAAATTGCACTTCACGCCTTGACTTTTACACATGTTCAATTAAGTCTGTTTTGTTCACAGAATTGTCAATTACAATATTGAACATAACACATAGTATCCAAGGAAGTAGGAACAATCAAAGCTTTTACAAACATGTCGTTGTATGAGAAAAATCGAAGACAATGGATAGTCTTCAAGAAATAAGAAACTTGGAAGTTTATGGTGGAGGAACCATAAATGGCAACTGTGAAGTTTGGTGGAACATTTCTTGCAAAGTCAAAAAAATAAAAAAGTAGGGTATATGTTATGAAAAAAATTAAATCAAACCCATTTTTTGGGGTAAAGTTTACTAAACATTCATTTAATTAACTCGTACACGATATATTGAACTGAGATTGTGATCTGCAATGTTTGTTGAAGAAGACTTGTTTCCTTTTGTTTGTCACAAGTTGCATTCCACATATACGCAATTGATGATCCATTGTTGTTCTCTTTTGCAAAAGATCTAGGTGTGGTTTTACATATATAAATCTAGATATGATTCACACACACAAATACATACATATACACATACATACATACATAAACATGAATCATGCTTCATGCACAGATCCACAGGGCACTCATATATAGAGTTTCCGCATAATTTTTTTTAATACATTGTGGGGCCCACCATGTGAGTGACCTGGTGAGCCCCTGTAAATCCATAAACATATAATTTATACACATAATATTACCATTTCGGAATGACTAGGAATAGAAAGAAAAAGATGATCAATTTGTGTTTCGACTAAAATGCCAATGGATAAATCATGCGAATGGACTGTACGCGACCATATGATGGAACAAATAGGTAGAATGAAACGATAGAGGTGATTTGTGCAAAGAATCGTGATCTAAGGATCGAAATATTAAAAGTGAAACAATATGGGCAATTTGCTCAATGAAGACAAACAATAGAACATTTTATTACCCAGCTAGCTTTATGCCTTGAGTTAAGAATATCATTTTGCTTCTTGAGTTGAGACTTGAGTAGAAAGAAATGTTTCGTGTTGGGTATTTTTTGTGATGCCC